GTCAGGTAAGACAGCTTAGCCGTGTGGCACCGACCCCCTCAGATGCAATCCCTTTTATCCTTAAAAACCACAAACCACAGACGTGACTCCTAGGTTTAGCAACTGAACCATAACTTCCTTGGTGCTAATTTTACCATCCTTTCCTGTTCTATTCGTCCCCGTCACGTCTGTTCCCATCAATAAGTTTGCTTAGTCTTGCAAGTTTACTTATTTCCTGTCATTGCCCCAAAGGCCACAATTTAGCTAACTTGGCTTTATTAAATGCAATCAAAACTAACATTAAAACATATAGAAGGGTACTAATAATTTTCCTCTCACACACAATAATTACTGAACTCAGTGGGCTGGGATTGTGGCATCCAGAGGCTTCCTCACCCAACCTGATAGTTTCCTTGAACAGGTGATTATATTCTCAACCACATAGACATACGCAACACAGTCACACAGTTCATGTGGCAAGGATGCTCAGCGACAATTGCCTTGAAAAACATCTCACTTCTGATTCCATGAACTCTCTTGGACCTCCTTGCTGGCTCCTCGGCATCTCCCAGCCCTCATACACTGGGGAGACCTTGCTCTTGTGGCCTCAGTCCTTTTTTCACTGACCCATTAGATCAGTGTTTCTCAACCTTGGCAACTTTAAGATGTGTGGACTTCAACCCCAGAATTCCCCAGCTAACCATGGATTGTTAGATTGTTCCCTTATAGCTAAATCTTGCTAGCTGATCCACCTGCCTTGAACCCAAGCTGCAGGCAGGCACAGTAGCAGGGCGAGGGAAACCTTGTTGATTCTCCCTGTACCTCTTACTCAAAGTACTACTGTATTTCTTTCACTCATTCACCTAACTGGAACACTTTGTCTCTTCTTTTTTATCTTCCTTAGCTGCCTGACTCTTAAGTAATCTTTCTGCCTCACTTTAAATCTCTGATTTCTTTTCATCTCCTCAGCTTGCTTTGCTATATAATCACTTCCTTCCCCTTTTCCCAGTTATTTTGTTCAGGTTTGATCTCTTGGGCCAACCCTGTCCTCGTTTAGCAGAGTCCCTAGTTGTCTTCCCACCCATAAGTCAGGATGTTTTGGCACCATGATTCCACATGCTTACATTTTTTCCAAACTGTAAGTTTTGTTTCTTCTTATCTCCTCTTCAGGGTTACCTCCCGGTCTCCCTTTGGAAAGTCCCCAATTCCAATATCCTTGCAAGTTTTACTTTATCTCATCCACTGATCCAATTACCTTATCTCCCTATTCACCTACACATCTGACTCATCCTTCCTACGGCCTACTTACTACAACCCTGGTGACCGCCTGGACTAGTTCCTGACATTTTCTTGGCAAGATTTCAGAAGTGGTTTGTCCTTGCCTCCTCCTCCTGCCTAGGGCTGAGAGAGAGGGACTGGCCCAAGGTCCCCCAGCTGGCTTCATGCCCAAGGCAGGACTAGAACTCCAGGTCTCCTGCTTTCTAGCCTGGTGCCTTTAACCACGATATCTAACTGGCTCTCCTCAAATCTTTTAACCAACAGTCATTCCAGTTTTACCAGCTGAGGATATTGATAAATGAAATTACTTAACCTTTAATGTGTTTTTAGTATTATTTATGTATATTTTAAGATTCCTGCTATTTTTGTTCTGGAGGGGTAGTAATTTTCTTGTTTGATATATTCTGCATTCTCACCCTGTTTTTAGGTCTCAAGATTCCAAAACAAAGTGAGCTGTTTGTTTGGTTACAAAAGCTAGTTTTCTCTAAGGAACCTGCTGACAATGCTCTTGTTTCAGTTACCGAGCAAGAAACAGAAAACATCATTAAACTTTGCTTATACCAACCCAGCTTTTTAAAGATGCAGGTGAAGATCTGACCTTTCCTAGACTGCTGTTCTCTAACTCAGTGTCTTATAATAACATCTCCCATTTCTCCTCAGGTTCTTTTAAAAGATGGCCAGGAAGGACACAAGGTTAAAATTTGAGATGGAAGGGAGAAAAGGATAAATATATCTCAAATTCTAGAACTGGAAAAGAGATGCGTGGATCCTCCCTTCCCTCCTCCCTCTCTCTCTCCCTCCCTTCCTTCCTTCCTTCCTGGCACATTTACTCTGGTTTTTTTCCCCCCCAAGAAAGGGATTCCAGAGCTGCTGGGACATAACCTGCCTACAGGTTGACAGTTTAAGAGATACAAGAAAAAGAAAAAGGAAGGAAGAGATAGCCAAAGATAAGAAGAAAATACATTCTGGCCTTATTCACTATTGTTCATAGTTTGTTCATTAGTTAGATTCATACCTTACATTTCCTCAGGAACTCAAAATAGGTACATTAAACTCCTGCCTCCCATTTTCACCACAATAATAATCCTGTGAGGTAGATTGGGCGGAGAGAGAGTGATGACTTAAAGTCACTCAGGGAGCTTTTGTGGCTGAGGGTAGCCATTAACCTAGGCAACACCATGATGATATCAGTTCTTACAATTAATAGTTCTCACAAAACAGGAATGAAAACAATACAGGGCTCAAGACCTAATGAAATAGGTCCTTCAGCAGAATGGATGCAATTGCCCCATTTCTATTTTGCTGCTAGAGGCCCATCTAGATCAATATTGTCTACTCAGGTTGGCAGCCACTCACCAGATAAATGTAGAGACTACATAGAGGATAAAACTTTCCATCTGATATTTGCTGCTTCAGGTTTTTCCCAATGCCCAGTTGCTCATGGATTTGATACTTTGGACAACGCTTCTGGCATCAGGATTTTTCAGGATGTTTGAGCACTACCAAGGGCTGCTACCAAATCTTAGAACAATCTTACCATTGTTAGGCATTATCAAACTAAGGCTAGAAAGTGTGTGTGTTAATTTTCTACTATAGCCACAAAAGACATCATTCAGTGAGGTGGCTGAAAATTAAAACCTCAGACTCTGAGGACTATCTGTTTAATTTTTCACTCCCCTTATTGATTTAAAGTGCCAGTGTATGCATCACAAACAATAACCATTTCTCCCAAGGCCCTTTCCCCCTCTTTCATCTTCATCATCATCTACTGATGCAATTTGGATCCTACCATTTGCCCATTGCTGCTTAGTTAATATGAACAGGCCTGAATCCATCACTCCAAACTGTCTTCAACTAATATATACAGATATCAACTAATATTGTTGGGAGTCTCCAACTCCATGAAATACATACCGGTAGCCCCCAGTTTAAGAATAAATTCCATTCTCAAAGTCTGTCCTTAAGTCGAATTTGTATGTAAGCCAGAACAGTATTATTGTATAATAGTGTATAAGAAGCATTGTGTATTGAACTCAAACCTCTTTGTATTTAACTCAAATCATTGTGTATTTAGCTCAAATTTTGCTACGATTGGCTCCGTTCTTAATTATGGGTCATCCATAAACCGGGCATTCTTAACCCGGGGACTACCGGTAACTAAATATATCTAAACAGTCAAGCCTCCTTTTCCAAACCAGTAAGATATTTACATCACAGAACCATCTCCAAATTCTGAAGAGCACTAACTTTAGCATGCTTCAGCGCTCTCTCCACAGTAGTTTTAGAGACCAAATACAAAAAAGTCCCCTACGAGCCAAGTCTCTGCCCCTGCAGACAAAGCGCTGTTGAAACTGCAGCTCATGTTTTGTTATGTTGCACTCTCTGTGAGGATCCTAGGACCCACTTTATAACTCCCCATCTGGTAAAACATCTGGGAAATTCTGATCATTTTTATGTGATAACTGTCAGTGTGACTTAATTTCCTTGAACGTAGCCAAATTCTACGATACTGCCTGTAAAATTAGACACATTCTGACTACCCACTGATGAATCTGCCACCAGTTGTAACATTCTTATCTTGTTTTGTTTCTTTACTCTTATTTTTAACATGTTTTATTTTGAACTCTGATCTGTGACTGTAATAAAACCTACCTATCATCCATCTATCTATCTATCTATCTATCTATCTATCTATCTATCTATCTATCTATCTATCTATCATTTATTTTCCTGCCTTCAGAAAGGAACTGCAGTGTATTTTTTCTACCAGTTCTCATTCAGTTAGACAGAGAATTTGCTTTCAAATTTTCTTTCAAAAGACAAAAGAATTTCAGTGAAGTGAAGTACATTCACAGATAGAATTAAGTGTTCTTGCTTTTTTTAATTCTGAGCTGGCCAAGGATGTGAGTGTAAATATCCTGGCTCCCTGGCCATAAGCATCTACAGGGGGAGGGCAACTGAAACACAAGTCATGAGGTTGTGATGCAAACTCTACCCTTTATGTACTTGCATGTGATGTCACAAGGCAAGGATGAAAAAGCACATGCATTGTGGTATTGCACAGCCCTTCCATCATTTTGACATCATCAAGGTTGAGAATAGGCTCCTAGATCCTTGACTCTTCACGTTTTAATTCACTCCCCAGGGAAAGATATCATACTCCTCCCATGGGGATTTTTCAGTGGGGCAGCTACAGATGCCTCCAAACAATAGGAAGACATATAATAGAAAAGCCCCAGCTGTAGTATCCTTCTGCAGCTGCACACATAATCTAAGAATAAAATCGAGAAACTGTTGAAAAATGGCACAGCAAATTTTAACACTGCATTGTTTCTGATTTGTGCTTTCTCCCTTCAACTTTAGTTCCTAAAGAGATACCTTGCGGATCGAAGACCACATAAGATGTTTTTTGTAATGTGTAAGTACAAGGCACAGCATGGACCACACTGGGCTACTCCCCACATTTTAGGGGGGCAAACTTACATTTAACATCAAGAGAACCCATCCAGGGAGCTGCAGCCACAATCAGCTCTTCAGTCAGTGCATTTTCACTGTGTTTGTTTCAGATGTGGACATTTCTGTTTCCTAAAATCCTTGAAAAAGACTGACATACTGGGAAAATGTGGGCCTATTTTACTATACATTTTTTAATAAGGTAGGGAAAGTGGGCTAAACATGGCTTCTGATTTCTTTCCATCCCTTAATAGCAGCTCTGTTCTGGATCACATCACAGGAGAGAGGGCAGCTTGCAATGAGAGTGTCTCTGACATCCTGAGACAATGCCATTGCCCAAACATTTCAGGACTTTTTTCCTCTCCAGCCACCAGTCTGATCCAGTTTACGGTATTTTCAAGGTTTCTTTTGCCAGTTTCTTCTGCTACTCCAGATTTGATCCCATTCGGTTCGGGTTTTGAAGAGTTATTGTGCTAACAGACTAGGTCCCACTCCATACAAAATATTATTTCCAACATTCTGTTGAGCTGGAAAATAACCAGATAGAAAAAGAATGTTGACTGGACTGGTTTTCAACTCCCTTGAGCAGCTCCATTGTGGGCCTCATGGCCAGGAGGGCAGAAGGCTTAAGAATAGCAGGCTATCGGAAGCCCAGATGCCTCTTCCACAGGGATACAGTGAACCATTTTTTCTAGATTCTCTTTTCTGTGCAGTGCTTGGCTACATCCAACCCATTTCTAGACTCATCCTTTTTTTTAACCAGCTTCTCCACTCACACCAGACTTGATCCTGTTCCATTCTGTTTTCAGAGAGCTATCCAGTTAACTGACATAGTCTTGGGCCTTTTTCATAATTATTTTTTCAACTTTCTGTTGGGGCGGGGAGGGTGCAAAATAGTGTGGGGATTATTATACCAGTAGAGGATATACTGCCTGGATTGCAAAATGCACGTAAGTCTGTTAAACTCCTAGTGGCTGGATTTGCACCATATACTAAGTTTGGTTTGATTAATTTTGAGGGGTGTAGCTGGTTCTATGAACCTGGTCCATTTTACTGATTTATGCTTTAATGTATTCTGAAAACCCAGAAAATGGGTTAATTCAGTAAGCAAATTAAGAATGTCATACAAATCAAGCCAATAAGTGGTTTCCAAGTGCCCCCTTTGTCTACCAGATTTTGAAGGCTACAAATAGGGTTATTCCTTATGCCTGCCAGAAACTCTGGAGTCCAGTTCTCCTTTGTAATCACAATGGGGCAGCCTTTCCCAGTTTACAAGCCCTCCAAGGGCGTTAGGAATATAACCCCCCTAATGCCCAGTCAACACAATCCCCACTGGCTGAGGATTCCAGGAGCTGCTGTCCAACTACATCTAGAGAGATGCAACCTGGAGAGGCTGCAGGGATGGCATTTAATCAGGCAAGTAGGAGACCAAAGGGTTCAAGTTACTCCTCCAGTGGAATGTTCCTTAATCAAATTTACTCATCCTGTTATTCCTAAGAAAAAGAAAACTGAAGACCATAAACAGGAAAATCACATGTCAGGTGTAACTGCTTATTGGGAATGGAAAGAAACAACCCAATTCTGCTTCCTTTTATTCGGAAAGGTTTTCTGGACCTCACCAGTACTGAGTCGAAGTACAGCCTCCATGACAACATGAAGAAAATCAAAGCTCCCACCCAGATCATTTGGGGAAAGGAGGACAAGGTAAGGGAGGACTATGTGTGGGTGTGTGCACACTGTGTGTAATTTTAGAATCAGGCAACAGAACTGTTCATGCAAGGGGAATTGTATTGCTGTGGTTTTTCACTTGCTGACAGTTTTATTGTTGCTGGTGGAAATGCTTGACTTGAAAACAAGCCTTAGTTCTTGTATACTGGGAGGTGATGTCTTCCAGTACAAGGAACAGCTTGAAATGTATGCCTACCTTTCTACAGTAGGAAGACTGAACCATTTTTACCAGCATGAGGACTTTGCACAGTGTGTTGAGTAAGACCCTCTGAAAGAGGGCAGGGTGAGGGCTTATTCTGGGGGGTTAAGGAGATTAGCAGCACCTGCAGACAGGGTGAAAGGCAATTCTACTTTATTTTTCCTTCTACTTTGCTACACCCTTCCTCCTACAGCTTTTAATACAGGTTTTTATACATTTATTGTACAGAAGAAATGTATAAAAAACTCGTTTATCATAAAATCAGTAGGGCAAATCCAAACAAAGGAAAGAGTATAGAAAGGGTATAGAAATGATGGCAGAGGGAATATCTTGATGAGCCATAGTGGTCAAGAGGTTGACCTATTAAGAGCAACTAAGAACAATGCTAAACACAAGGATTCACAGCACTTTTAGAGTCATAGGCACTTAACAAAAATCTTGTGAGGACTGTGAACCAGAAGACTTTCAAATAATGTATACTTGTGGTCAAGTAGAAGTCAATCTTAGTTGAGTTCCATCTGAAATTCTTAATGTCTTCAGTGGTTAGAGAAAGATCTTGTTATGGAAGGCATGTGCGAGGAGGATACTGGAATGGAGGATCAAGGTTATCCGGAGGGAGGGGGAGCCTTCCAGGAGAGGTTTCAGGGCAAGTGCTTCCTCAGCCTGCAGCAGGACCATGAGAAGATGAAGAGGCTGAGACCAGCCCCTCCCTAGAGCCTCACGGGGTATAGCCAGTCCATTACAAATCTATTGGTTCTGAGGTTGCATTGAATAACACTGGAAGAGCAGGGAGGGAAATTCAAGGGTAGAGACACAAGAAGGAAAAAAATAATGGAGATAGGTTTCTCTGTTACTACAGCCCAAGAAGGCTATGAGTAATACATGGAGAGGTGAGAAGCTTTTCCTCTTACAGCATAAAAGGTGTGAAAGTGTAACAAAGAAAAGGTACAGGAATATAAAAGTTCCATAAGAAGGGGGAGGTTTCAAGGGATAAGGATTTAAAGTACTTATTTTGTCCCTTAACCATCTGTCCAAAACTCCCCTCCCCCAGGCACACATAAAGCGCTGATTCCCTTGGCCTCACCCACTTTGTGGGATCTCAGATCATACTTTTTATAGCCATACAAATTTAATTCAAGTGCACAAACCAAATGAGTACTACTGCCAAAAGTTAAATACAGACATCAATGTGCGCATGGCAGCAGCCATTGATGACTGTTGTGTCAGCGCAGTTGACCTTTGTATCTTAACAGAACTCACATGTAACCTGGCTAAACAATTCAAGGCATCACACGCCAAACATCAGAGAATAGGGATGCTGTGTGAAACAGCTACTGTTGAAGGCTTGTGTCCTGAATGTTGCTTCAAGAACAAATGTAAGGTGGCACATTCAAGTCAGGAGATTTTTTTCTGTATACCCCTTAAAATATTTCAGTTGTGATGGGAAGGAATGCATTGTTTCTTTGTTGTGTAGGTCTTTGACTCTTTGGGTGCAGAAATCTTGGCAGCTGCCATTCCTAATTCCCAAGTGCATCGGCTAGAAAAATGTGGACATTTCATAGCCCTCGAGAGGCCCAGGACATCCGCGCGGCTCCTCTTGGAATTCTACAAATCGGTCTGTGACTCAGCCAAGCATAAGAAGGTGGCCTGAGTCTCAGGAAGTGTCAGATGGCTGGAGACGTGCATGGTCTGCCCCATCAACAGTCCTGAATTGACTTCTCTGGCTGGTACAACAGGAACTTCAACCCAAGATATTTGGTAGGCAGCAGGGGAGGTGAGGATCTAGTGAAAACAAAGCTTTGCAACACCGTTCCAGGAAGACTGATCGAGAATTGATCCAACTTTCTAATGAAACTTGCACTTCTGTGTGTAGGATTGTTGCTTCAGTCCATGAAGCTACATTTGTTTGTCTCCTCTTCACTCCAATTCTCTTTCCTCTGTTGTTGGAATTCAGGCTATAAATATTGGGAGGAAAGTCTACATTTTTGCTTATGTGACTTTGCAAAATATAATAAAGATGATGACTTAATAAATAGGAATTGTACATATGAATATGGAGAAAGACAGCCATGAGTTCACTCAACTGTTTTTCATTGTACACAGATATTTGCCAGATATATGATCTCCCAGTTACAGCTAGTGAAGATGGCTTCTTTAAGATACTGGCATCAAGGTTGAACTGCCACTTTCTTTTCTTTTTTTTCAAATATTGATTAATCAGCAAAAGGTCTATCTCAGAATTGTGTGAAATCTTAGAAAAGAGACAGACAAGATATTGTCAAAACAATTCTTCATTTAAAAGTTATGAAATTAATTAAGGAAGCCACAAATCACATCAGCAATTTGAGCAATCCCCATGTTAATAAATGAGCAGGAGAAAAAATAATGATAAAAAATAAAAAATAAAAAATGAGCTAGAAGATGCAATAGAGGTTTAAGAAGCTATTAAGAGAGACATTAAACATTTTCCCCTCAATTTATGTAACTTGTAAAGTGGACTGGGCACATTTTGATAGCCAGGAGCTGCATTTCAGTTTTTTGGGGAGAAAAACCACACTATCATTTTTCAACTACTGGACCACATGCTTATCCAGCATGGGTTGCTAGATAGATGTTTTCTAGTCCAGGGCTGACAGACAGTGAATGGCCCAAAGTCAACCAGCCAACTTCTGTGCCTAAAGGAGGACTAGAACCTGGGTTTCCCACTCCTGGTCCAGTATCTTACATTACACCACACTGGCTCTACTATAAATTACTAAACATCAGAAAACAATATCAGAGGATGGCTAATTATACTTGTGTCCTACTTTTGAATTTGACATTGTTGGAAAAGAATGCTGAGTAAGATGGTTTATGTTTCCCTCAGGAGCTCAATGACCCATTAGCACTCCCTCCTCCAATTTTATTGCACACTAACACCCCATGAGATAGGTTGAGCTGAGAGAAAGTACAGGCCAAAGTGTCCCAGTGAGCTTCCATTGCTGTGGGTGGACTTGAACCAGAAGACAATTCTTGAACTCCTAAGCAGGCAGCAATGCAGAATACTTCCTCAGAATCTTCCTTCTAATTTTAAGAATAGCACAGTTCCTAGCAAATTGAGAGTATGAAGCTATACTTAAAACATTAGCTGTCAGATACATGACTGAAAAGTTGTAGTGATCAAATGATTCATGAGTGAAGCATAATTTGGGGGCAGAGGGGGCCTCCCCTACACATGCATGATACCCTCCCATACAAACAAAATCTGTTCTTTGCATTTTTGGCTGCCTGATTTATGTTTATAGCCAGACAGAACAACAGTAGATAAATCTGAAGGGGTAAGTGAACTATCCCAGACAACATCTAACACATCCTAGGTCTGTAGATCAGCTACAGTGACTCCCACTCTCTTGGGGAGCAATTTCCCTCCCATACAGTGCTTTATTTCTCCCATTCCTCTTTCTTCCTATTGCACTTCCACAAAGAATTCTGGAATTTTTGGAACACAAGACAGCATGCCACATACCAAGGGACAAATCTGCCTGTCAAACTACAAATCCTAGTTTGCACAAGCTCAATTTTTTGTTCTAAGGAAGAGGCTGGACTACTAATTCCCCATTCAAGTGTTTCTTGATTTGGTTTAACTCTGTTTCTGATTGTGGGCTAGAGATTCTCCTGTGCCATTTGTTTCAGTCATAACAAGTAGTTTAAGCTGTTAACATGGAGATTTCTATTAGGCAAGGATTAAATACTGAGAAAACAAACAAATGTATCATCAAACAAATCAACCCAGAGTTCTCACAAATGATCAGGCTCAAATGATCATTCTTCAGGCACATTATGTGAAAACTTAACTCTCTGGAGAAGCCTATAATGTTGGGAAAAGTGGAAGGAAAGAGAAGAACAGGATGGCCAGCAGAAAGGTAGATGGACTCAATTACAGTGGCAATAGGTGCACCATTGGAAGACCTAAAGGATCAAGGTGGGGACAGATACTGAGACAGAAAATCTATCTTTGTGGCCAGTAAGAGTCAACAGCAATTTGATGACACATAATAAATCAATCCTCCTTCAGTCCCTTGTGCATTAACTATTTCCTACCATGCTACCTCCTTTTGAACATTATTTGAATTCTTGTGATTTCTCGACATGAGAAAAGGAAGTGGACCAATATAGTTTTACATTCATAGAGGGAGTCTAGAAGCATCTAAAGACTTGTTTATCCAAGGTCATGCAGTAACATTATTTTAGGGAGCTGTCCAAATAAAATGGGCATTGAGTTTATAGTGAAGGAGGGCATTAGTGTTGTTTTCTGGGCAGCTTTATCCAATCCCAGGTTGTTAAATATATAATGGAGGAGGGGGAAACAGAAGAGGAAAGCCAGAGTCTCTGACATGGTATTTATACCAGCGCAGCTGCTAAGACTTGACTTTTGTAGTTATAAAAATAGCAGAGTTCCAACAAAGAACATCTGTTCTTTGATCATACTCAATGTGTCCATTTAAAAATGCATTGCAAAGCCAATTAAGATATCTTTTCTTCCTCAATCTCCAAACAAAGTGTTAGGAATGGAAACCTTGACCCTATACTTGTGCTACCTGTGGTAGTTGTAACTTTGCTTCTCCAGAAAAGAAAAATTAAAAAGTCAGCTAATGGCAGGAGATTGGATTGCCTATTGAATGTTGAGAATTCACCCCAAGTCTGAGAGTTGATTATGAATAGTTGCAACAGACTAGATATATTAAAACTCATTTCTAAATTTCTGCTGCCTAATACCTTGGCTGGAAACTAAGAGAATAAGACATACATGCATTGAACTGAATTATTGGCTCAGCTTCAGACAATAAATGTCATCTTACCTAACCAGTTCTGCAAGAGACTTTACAGAAAATATCTAACCTGTTTGGGGCTGATGTTTTGTGGTCAGGAGACATCCATTGAGAACACCCTGTTCATGCTACAACTTGGCATGCAGGAATAATGAGGGCTGATTTTTTTTCCTGATCAGATTACAAATAATCAGCTTTTAATTCAATCCACTGTAGATTTACGTACCAGCATATGGTATAATAATGGCTCTTGAGAAAAACTGCCAAGGGGAAGCTAGTGACAGGTGCAATAGCCCTTTCCCAACCAAAGATCCTCTAAACTTTAGAGTCTAAAGATTGTTCCCAATAAGCAGTTACTCCAGCCAAAGCTGCCAATGCTAAGAAATTATGGGGGTTGTAGGCACTATTTGGACAAATTCAAGTAAGAGATTGAATTAAAGCACACTGTTCTTTTCTCTGACATGAAAATGAGGGAAAGAACAAGGATTACTCTGCCTGTAGTTCACACCCAATTATCCGGATGCCCCAGAGTCATTTTTCACTTTGCACAGGCAATCGTGAGTCTCCATATTATAAACTAGTGTGGCATGACCGTCCCCTTTCGTTTGTTGTCTACTTTTAAAATCTAAGCCACTCAGAGTTGGGCAGCCAGTTAATTAATATTGGTGATCTATATTCTGAGAAGCCAAAATTCATGTTGCAAGTCTAGCAAAACACAAGCAGAATGCTTACAAGTTCAGCTGAAAGAAATGAAAGAGGTTCTCCTAGTGCAAGGGTGGCAGCAACAGATTTACTCCATTTCCATGTTTAAGGTTCGTTGACCATAAAATTCCCAAGTCGGTATTGTAAACATGATCCTATCTCAAAATAAGTACAGGCTGAAGTACATCCCAAGTCAATCTGTGCAAATTAAGGCTGCAGTTCTATCAGCAAAATGTACTGAGTTTGAAACAGGTTGTTCTGATCTCACTGGAACTCTCTGGATGGTGGTCATCCATTCCAGAAGGGGTTCTGAGATGGAAGAACTGCGCTTCTGAGCAAAAACACTTCTAAGTATGGTCAGAACAGCTGTTTCAGACTTAAAAGGTTTTGTGCATTGTAAAGTTGTGTGGTTCCTGGGACAAGACTACAAATCCCTTGATTTGCTCCTCCAATATCAGAGGCAGAGTTCCAAATTGGAAGATAAATCAGATATCAGATTCTCCAGCCTATTTCCTCCAGAATCTACTTATTTCAGAAACTCTGATATTAAAAGGACTCCAGAGATTGAACACGGCTGCATGATAGAGCTTATGAATCTACAACAGCCTAAGCCAGTGTTTCACAACCTTAGCAACTTTAAGTTATGTGGACTTCAACTCCCAGAATTCCCCAGCCAGCCAAGGCCTCATTTCTGCCTTGTCAATCTATCCCAGCAGCATACTAGATTTGGCAGGGAGTCCCAATGATGGAAGACTCCAAAAAAGTAATTGTTTCAATTATATCTTTTCACTTTTATTTTATATAGAATTAATACTAGTTTTAAAAATTCCTCCCTTGGGGGCAGGCTGAGCCTGCAATATATCTGAGGAGTTTGTGGCAACTTTCAGCTTCTGGGTGATTCTTTTGTACAAATATGTGAGATAAACAGCCACCTCCCTAATATGGCAAGAAAGATTATCAAGTGATTGAAGACTAAGGTTGGTTCCACATTTACTTCCCGTCTCTGATCTCTCAGACTAAGGTTGGCAGAGTGTTCTTGTGGTGTTGGTGCCTTCAAGTCACTCTTGACTCCTGGTGACTGCCTGGACTAGTCCCTGCAGTTTTCTTGGCAAAATTTTCAGAAGTAGTTTGCCCTTGACTTCTTCTCAGGGCTGAGAGTGACTAGCCAAAAGTCACCCAGCTGGCTTCACTCCTAAGGTGAGACTAGAATTCATGGTCTCCCAGTTTCTAGCCTTGTGCCTTAACCACTACACCAAATTGTCTCTCTTGGATTAAGTTAGATTAAGAACATCTCATTTTTATCTTTTTCTCCCAGATCGTTGAAATTTTATTTCCTCCGTCCGGTGATATCAAGGCAATGCAAAAACGAAGATGCCAAGCTGACCAGGTATTGACAGAGCCACTGCTGCTTGACCTGGTCATGCTTATTTATTATTTCAGTTTACATGTCACTCCATTCCAAAGACTTTGAGTAGCTGTCCAGTAATGAACGTGACATGAAATAATGCAACCGGAAGAAGGTACTGATGTGACATGTTTCAGGTAGCAAGAACTTCAAGCATCCCCAGATGCCTCCTTGAAGAGTCTTGCTTTCACAGCTCTTTGAAAGTACAATAGATCTGACCTCTAGGGATAGGCTGTTTCAGTGGTAGGTGGCCATTCCTGGGAAGGTTCAAGCATAGAGTTGTTGTAGATGGCATTCCTTTAAATTTGGGACCCTGGACATGTCCTCTGTACTAAATCTCACAAGGGTCAAATGCAACTCAGGGAACACAGGTTTTTGCTAAGGGCTTAAGGGTGATCAGAAGCCCTGAACTGCACCCAGAAATGGAATGCCAGCCAATACATGGTAGCAGCGGGGAGTGAATGGGCAAGCATGCAGCCATAGTTCAACCGTTTTAACAACTTTTCCTAGAAAGGGAAGGTTGGAGACTGGTCGCCAGTTGTCTAAAACAGCTGGGACAAACAATGCCTTGTTCAGGAAAGGCACTGTCTCAAGAATGCATTTGCCATCATCCATACCTATCCACCCATTGTGTGCTTTTAATAGCCAAGTGGAACAGGAATCCAGAACCCAGGTGGTTGAGCTAACAGCACACAGATCCCTGTCAATTTCCTCAGGATTTACCAGGTCAAACATCCCGTGTAAGTTTGCAGTATGAGGCCTCTTATCTCACCTGGATCTGCCTAGCTGGCATCTAACTCCAAGCAAATGAGAGTGATTTTATCTTCTAGATAGTGTTTCTCAACCGTGGCAACTTTAAGATGCGTGGACTTCAACTCCCAGAATTCCCCAGCAGGGGAATTCTGGGAG